GCCACCGAAGCCACCACGGCCACCGCCACGGCCACCACCGCGGCCGCCACCGAAGCCGCCGCCGCCACCGTTGTTGTCACGGGGCTTAGCGTAGTCGAGACGGACGGGACGACCCTGGAGGTCGGAGCCGTTCAGCTGGTCGAAAGCGTTCTTGGCATCCTCAATGGAGTTGAAGGTGACATAAGCGAAGCCCTTAGGACGGCCGGACTCCCTAGAAGACAGTTAGAACTCTGGTTGTGAAGGATACAGGAAAATGTATAAAGGGATACGTACTGGTCGGTAGGGATACGGAGGCTGGCAACGGAGGCAACAGAGTTGAAGAAATCGGAGACGGCAGACTCGTCAGCGGTGAAGGGCATGTTGCCGACGAAGAGGGTGTCGGACTCGGGGCTGATGGTATCGCCGTGCTTGGCAGCGCGGTCGGCGGCCTTGGCCTGGGGCTTGTTGCCGGCATCCTTGGAGGCGAAGTCGAGACGCATCTCACGGCCCTCGAGGAGACCACCGGACTTGGCATCATAAGCCTTCTGGGCCTGGTCGTTGTTCTCGAAGTCGACGTAGCCGAAACCGCGCGAGCGGCCGGACTCACGGTCAGTGACGACGCGGGCAGACTTGGCACCCTCGCACTCCTCGAACTCAGCGAAGAGGATGGCATCATCGATGCCCCAGCCGAGGTTACCAACCCAGAGGGTGGACTTGTCATCAGCGACCTCCTCGGTCTTGGCCTTCTTGGGAGCCTCCTCCTCCTCGGAGTCCTCCTCAGCCTTGCGCTTCTTGGAAGGCTCCTCAACCTCAGACTTCTCCTCGGACTCGGAAGAGTCAGAGTCGGAGCCATCAGAGTCGTCAGAATCCTCAGAGTCGGACTAATAACACATGTAGGTTAGCATATGGATAACAACAATAGGAATGTTTAAAAGTTGTACTCACGCTGGCCTTCTTCTCCTCCTTAGCAGCGGCGGGCTTCTCCTCCTCCTCGGAATCGGAGTCGTCAGAGTCAGAGTCGGAAGACTCAGCCTTCTTGGTCTCCTTGGCGGCAGGAGCGTCGGTCATCTCCTCGTCGGAAGACTCCTCAGCGGAGGACTCATCGCTAGACTCCTCCTCGGATTCAGAGTCGGACTCCTCCTCAGAGGAAGAGGACTCCTCCTTCTTGGACTTCTTGGAGGGCTTCTCAGCCTTGGTGGCCTTGACGGGCTTGGCGGCCTTAACGGGCTCGGCCTTGGTGACCTTGGTGGCCTTGACGGAATCCTTCTTGCCCATGATAGCGGTTGTTGTGTGAAGAGATGTGATGAAGTGATGAAATCCGCTAATGGGTATTGGAAGAGAAGGATGGAAGAAGATGATGAGTGAGAGAAAGGATGCGTTTGAGGAAAAGAAAGATCCGTGGGAAGGCTGCAGTTTATATGGGGGAGCAGAGGGTGGCGGGTACCGTAAAAAACTTCTGGCTG